CTTCTCAAAGAGAGGGACTACAGCTAAATTTTTGGTAATAATTTTTTATTTTTCAATTACAGTTGACATACAATATCACATTAGTTTCAGGTATACAACATAGTGATTAGACATTATATAACTTACTAAGTGAGCATGCCAATAAATATATTATCCATCTGATAGTATACACAGTTATTATAAGATTAGAAGCCTGGTACACGAAATTCGTGCACAGGTAGGGTCCCTAGGCCTGTCCGGCAATCAGGGCCAATCAGGGCCAATCAGGGCCTTCCGGCTACTAGCCAGGGCCTTCCTTCATTCCACGCTTCCCCCGGTGGTCAGCACACATAATAGCGAGCGATCAAACTCCCAGTCTCCCAGTCCAACTTCTGAGGGGACATTTTGCATATATATAGATTATAGACTATATTCCCTAAGCTGTACTTTACAGCCCCATGACTATTCTCTAACTACCAATTTGTACTACTTAATCTCTTCCCATTTTCATCCATCCCCCCCAACCTTCCTCCCCTCTACCAACTGTCAAAATATTCTCTGTATCTATTAGTCTGTTTCTGTTCTGCTTATTCATTTATTTTGTGTGTGTTTTAGGTTCCACGTATAAATAAAATCACAAAGCATTTGTCTTCCTCTGTCCATCCATGTTGTTGCATATGGTAAGATTTCATTCATTTTTTGGCTGAGTCATATTCCATTGTGTGTATGTGTGTGTGTGTATATATATATATATATATATATATATATATATATATATATATATCACTTCTTTGTTATCCATCTATCTATTGATGGACACTTCTATGTCTTGGCTGTTGTAAACAATACTGTAATGAACATACAAATATACTGGAGGCCCAGTGCACAGGTTCATGCACTGGAGGGGTCCCCTAGCTTGGCCTGTGTAGATTGGGCTGAAACTGTGAAGACTGGGATCACAGATTGCAAGAGGGCAGTTCTCGGGTGACGCACCCCAGAACTGGGCTCCCTCCTCTCTGGTTCCAAGTGCATCACCCGAGAACCATAGCTGCCAAGTCACTGCAGCTCCTGCATTAAGCGTCTGCCCCTGGTGGTCAGTGCGCATCACATCTACTAGCCAGTTAGCCGGTTGGCTGTTTGCTTAGGCTTTTATATGTATAGATGTCTTTTCAACTTAGTGTTTTCAGTTTCTTTGCATAAATACCCAGAAGTGATTTTTTTCCCCCTCCCAATTTTTAACCACCACATGAGGGGAAGGGACCGGCCAACTCCAAGACTCTCCTCTTACCAGTCTCAATATGGCTTTCTTCTTTATATCCTTAGTTATAAGACTTCTGTTCAACTAGAGTTCAGAAAGTCAAGCTATCTCTTACTTATTTCCATTTACCAAGAAATTAACCCAATGCCTACCATATAACAGGTATACAGAGAAAATTTTATATAAGTTGCTTGCCAAAAAAATTAAAGTTTTTATTTTCTATCACATTAATGCAATCATGTATACCAAATCATATGTATCAAGAATCTAAAAGCAAGCTTATAGATTTCATTCTTCCCTAAAGCAAAGCCACTGCCAAGCCTGTATTACTCCATCCACTGGATTTTTAAAGCTCTTCCCATCAGAAAACTCAGCCCAAGAAATCATTCTGTTCTTTCTTATTTCTCTCTGGAATGTTTTGGACTCTAAAACATTGATTTGGATACCAAACTTCCTCCCCCAACTCAGAGAGAAGCACACCTCATACAGGCACAATTGATTCCAGCCCCAATTATAACTGGACTTTATCAGTGAGCAAATGGCAAGAATCAGGCATAAACTTTCTCAAAAACAGTTCATCACTGATGCACTAGATGGGAAATGATAACATTTTTGTTATCAGAATTAGGTTACACAAATGATTGCCTTTCCTTGTCATTTGTTTTATGATCTTTTCCCAATAATGAGCTGAATCATTTCTTTATGCAGAAAGGGATTTAAAAATCAATATTGTAAAAGTCAGAGGCAAAAAGACAGGGCAGAAGCACACATTAAATGTCAAACTGCACTCAGCCAACTCAAAAGGAAATCCTTCGGGCAAGGTTACAGGTTCAAGGATGCAGGGCTTGCAGACACTAGTCAGAGAAGCCACTGAGAACAAGTGGGCAGCCAACTCATGTCAAGGGCTATGCCTGTTTTGCCTTGGGGTTCAACCTGGCCTCCTCACAAGGAGGAAGTGCTGTGATCCCAGCACCCTTATGTGCTCTGCCTAGCGGGGTCCTTCAATCCTTGCATCTGGAAGACAGATAAAGAAAGAAAATTCCCAATGCTGCTGGTCAGGTTCTTCTCTCCATCTTTCTCCTATTTAAATCCTTCAAAGTACCATTTTGAAATGATCTCCACTAAAAGTACATGCTAACCACACCAACCTAAATGGAAGTGATGGTAACAACTTTGCTCAGGTGAGTACCTCGTGCCCCTATTGATTTATAGAACAGGGCCTGGGAATAGCTTCCCTTCTCCTCTGTTCACACTGAGTACTGAATGTGATTGTAAGCCTTTAAAACTGGGCTCTGGCCTAAACCGGTTTGGCTCAGTGGTAGAGCATCAGTCTGCGGACTGAAGGGTCCCAGGTTCGATTCCAGTCAAGGGCATGTACATTGGTTGCAAGCACATCCCCAGTATGGGGTGTGCAAGAGGCAGCTGGGCGATGTTTCTCTCTCATCGACGTTTCTAGCTCTCTATCTCTCTCCCTTCCTCTCTATAAAAAGTCAATAAAATATATTTTTTTAAAAAAAACAAAAAGAAACTGGGCTCTGCATCTATCTGCTATAACACTGAGCAACAGAAACTAACTGAAGATAAGGAGAGTTGATGCAGGTTACCAGCAGATGATCTAATCCTCAAGAAGGTAGGAAGACGAGACAGGAAATCCTTCAGGCAAGGCTATAGGTTCAAGGATGAAGGGGCTTGCGGACACTAGTGAGAGTAGCCACCGAGAACAAGTAGGCAACCAGCTCATGCCAGGGGCCATGCCTAATTGCCTTGGGGTTCAACCTGGCCTCCTCACAAGGAGGATGTGCTGCCTCAGAGAATGACAGCCTCATAGGATGACAGTCCTGGTCAGCCATTCAACAAATAACCCCATCATGGCCCCCCACCTTGGCCTCCTCATTCACTCAAACCTGAAAGTCCCAAGAGAGAGGATCTGACTGCCTGGCCTTTGGTGCCATGCTCTGATCCTCCTAGTACCCGTGGCAGGGGGAGGGAAGAGATCTAGCTTCCACAGAGGAAGTCAGACATTAGAATTGCAATCCCAGCAAGATGACACAACATCGAGAAACAGATAAGTTCCCAAAAGAAAACAGGGACACTAAATGCATGAAGAAAAGTAGTTAATAAACATCTTCAAAACAAAGGAAGTCACTTGCTTCACTATTCCCTAGGAACTCTGGTTCAGAAAGGCATTACCCATCCAGAGATTTGGGGGCGGGACTCAAGTAAGGATGTTATCTCCTATACTCTAAAGTTTCCCTCCATTTAAAAGCTACACACCTGTCCTGGAGGTCATTTATGTTGCTTCCCACTTGTACAGGTTCTCTTGCTGGAAGAAGGGCCCAGCGGTCTTCTTTGCAGGTAGAGAAGGGAAGCTGTGAATTCCCTTTCACTATAATTAACACATTCCAGGTGAGGATAGATACCACACCTGGAAGCTGCAATTTTTCATGCTAGATGACTGTCCTAGGTGGCCAACCTTTTTTGCTCATGCCATATTGATTAACCCTTCATCTCCAGGACCAGGGTCCTTTTGACTTGGTTTTCAAGATCCGTGCAAAGGCGTGACAACCTGCCAGCCCCTCAGACACTAACTGCAAGAGCCTCTAAAACTGTGTTCTCACCCTAACTTCTCTACATTAATTGATTCTTCACCAGGATGCCACAGGGTTCTAAAAACACAAGTCAAATCACATCATCCCCATTCTTATGAACTTCGGGAATCCTCTGCAGTTTCAGTCACTGTGAGCTATATTGTGGGTTAACTACTCATGATGTCCAAGGCCTTCTCTAACCTGTCTTCATAACTCACTCACTTCTTCTCGGGACCCATCACCTCCTGGATATCCACCTATCTCAGCCCAGCTGCTCCTTCAGGGGCATCCACATTGCTCAAGGCTGAGATCAATGCCATCTCTTTCATCTGCAGTTTGACACCACAGCCTTTGCTTTCCCAAGCATATTATCTTTACCTTCGATTCACACTTAATGTAACCGATTTGGCCTTTTTCAAAGTTTTTGTGTAAGTCTGCCTTCCCCACTAGACTGAACATTTCCCAAGGGAGAGGATCCTACAATGTTTGTATTTCCCAAAGGGCTTAGTTCAGCCAACATTCCTTATGTGATTACTGTACACTTTGCCTATCTGTGCACTCACAGAAGAATGACTCTGAATAGACTCCCATCAGTTAAGTGTATTAATAACAATAACAGCATCAATAGCACACATTCATGATCTGCCAGGGAGCATTAAGCCCTGCACAGTTACTTATCACCTCCACTGATCCCTTGGGCATTACTATGTGCAAACATTCTGATCCTCAAACAAGGCTCACGGACACTGGAGGATGTGTTCATGTTAACAAGTAGGGAGCTAGGATTCACACCCACGCTGCCTAACTCTACAAACTTAACATCTCATTTACTGCATGGCCCAAGACCCAGTCTTCTCCCTTCACACACTCCGGCACACATACCACTGCAGCACTTACACCTGTTAAGTTTCAGATCAGAACCAGGCCATCAAATGATCCAGCACTTAAATTATAGACCTGAAGTCCCAGAGACTGAAAACAGACCAGAGGAGGAAAGCGTATCAGCACCAGAGCAAAGGTTACAAGAACTCAAGTTCCTGGTCCCTAAACACCCTTTCTACAAGGTAACTCAGACACTAAGCCCAGGGCTTCAGACAGATCAGGTCACAGGCCTCACCTCTGCTTCCCTGCATTACGAGAGCATAAAAGACCAGCTCAGTAAGACCAGCACTCACCAGCAGGGCTGACTTCTGCTTCTCTTGGTCAAGGCTGTCCTCCCCGCCGTGTAGGGATGCATTCCCGTACTTCGTGGCTGCCTCTCTTTCCCTCATTGCCGCCTGAAACGACTCATCCTGGACTATAGCCTGCTTCTGTTTATACCTGTGCCAGGAGAGACATGAAAGAAGCAGGTGCAGATATAATGACTTGGCAGAAGGTAGCCAAGAAAAAGTTTGTGCACTCACTTCAGCTGACCAGGGGACTGGGATCTGTGGGCCAATGGAAATTAGATCTCACACTGGCCAGAGAAAGTACTGTGAAAGCTCATACCATCTGACCCTCAGAAGTCAGGCATCAGTGACAGTGCCCAAGGCAAGGGGATACAGTGACACTCCCAGCCAGAGCAATATGGATTAAGAACAGAAGGAGCACTGACCACCAAGTCAGGCAGTCATATCCCAAATGATAAATTCTTGGGGCAGGATTTCAATCCCTCACCAGCCACTCTTTCAAAGTGGATTGGAAGGATGGAGAGCCCACCTTCCCAGTCTTCACTTGAGTGCTTGAAGGTTTTTAGATAGCAGCAGCCCTCTGTTTTGAACATGTAACTCTTCATTTTGAATCTGTCCCTATCCTTTGAACTATTTATGAGCTTTTTGTCCAGTAAAATAATCCTAAAGAGAGAAAAAAGTTACTAGTACTAAGATGTTGTTAGTATTATTTATTATAGTGTAATACATGCAAACAACTGAAATGTCTTTTAACTTGACCTTGATTATTGGACATCTGATATAATCACATAATGGGATATTATAACATCATTATGAAGTACATTATTTGATTTGTCTATAGGTTGAATTTAAAATTGAGTACCAATAAACTACTTTTAGCAATAAAAATGTTTAAAAAGCAGTTGTAACAAATGGGGAAAAATTATATAATAATACTAAGTGAAAACAGCAAAATATAAAATTATATATAACTGAAAAAAATAATCCTAAACTAGGGAAAAGAACACATTTGAAACAAACATTCCAAATTACTGACAGTGGTTGTCTTGAAATGGTGAACCTATGGGTCAATTTGTTCATTTTAAATATTTTCTAAGTCTTTCATTAGCATGTATTACTTGATCATTTTTTCACTGTTTAAAAGTACCCAAAAAGGGGTTCAAGTTAGTTATTCTTGAAGAGGCCTCTTAGGATTAGGGAGGTAAAATTCTTAGACTGTCAATCTTAATCCATGACTATGGAACAGACCTACAAGGCTGACCTACTGAAGGAAAAAAACCAATGTGATTGACACTTCACTTCTTAAACAAATTCACTGGGTCCTTTATCTGTCCTCAAGGGTTTTAAAGAAGGTGGTCAATAACAACTATAGTTAGCATTCACTGAGAACTGTGTGTGCCAGGCACTGTGTGTACTTTTTATACATTAACATATTTAATCACGACAATACTCCAATGAAAGAGATATTCGAATTATGTCCTTATCAGAGGCCTAGAGAGATGCAGTGATTTTCCAGGGTCACATTTCCAATAAGTTGCAAAATCAGAATTTTGCACTTCAGGAGGGCCTCTGTGCCTTCACTATTCTACAAGCCTCAGGAGGAAAAACAGGTCCCAGTTCAGAGATATGGCCAGCTCTCCAGGATGTGGCCTATGCTGATGGGAAGTGTCACCAGCTTACTAGAGCCAAAAAATTACTAGTACTAAGATGTTGTTAGTAGTATTTATTATAGATGGATTTATTATAAATCCATCTCACCAAGTCAATCTCACCAATTACAGTTAGAATTGTGAGGGTCCACTTTCTCCTCCATACCTCTAAAAACATGCCTGCACATGCACACAGGCACAGAAGGCACAGACACTCAACTATTTAGTCCTAGCTTTTTCAAGTGAATTTTTTGAAAACATTAACAATCAATGTCCACATGTCCCTTTTGGTGTTTCTTCACCTTTAAAACTAGGACCAGTACAACCTATACCGTAGGGTTGTCGTGCAATCTACATAAGACAAAACATGTGAGACAAACCCTAGAGCCTTCAGACCAGGGAAAGGTCCCCAGTCAGGAAAGAGTGGTCAACCAGAGCTCAGAGCCAGCGGTGAGCAGGCATTCACACTCACCTCTTAAGGAGATCCTCCTCCACCTCCAAGGGCTGCTGGGCACCACCATTGTCCGACTTGGGCAGTTTGGAGTCTGCAAAGAGACAAAAAGAAAATGCCTGTAAGTAGCACCCCAGGATAAATGACGGCAGGGTAGGTCATCTAGGAAATGGGTTTAGGAATGCGTTCCCATAGATGGACATGCCCCAGGAATGGACACATGCTCCATCCAGCCGTTCTGGAGAGTGATAGCCCAAAGGCCTTTCAGTCCCTCCTTCTGCACCAGGACCTCTTACTCATGGGACTGGAAGGAAGCAGAACTATATGAATGCAGTGTTTCAAATCCATTCCTATTCACTCTACAATTACTTGGAATCTAGGTCATCTATTAAACACAGGCCAGGAACAGATAAGAAACCACTTAATGCTAAAAGAACAGCTCCAGGGTCTGAGTTTGACATAGGGGAAGGGAGAGGTGAAGAGGTTCCTTAAATCTTGCTTCCCTTAGTACCCCATTCTATAAATTTCTAATCCTGAATGTGGCAAGTACCCCCTAGTTGTGGTATTTTATATATTACTTAATCTGGATCACCTCTAGAATTATTGGGTTCTTTAAGTTGTTATAACAGGTCTATCTTTTGATGGCCTTGAACTTGGAGATTTCTGAGCATTTCCAATTCACTCTACTCTCTTCCCTACATGGTGATACTGAAGGTTTTGTTCTCCTCCCCCAGGCTTTATCCTTCTCAAACCATTTCTCAGCCAAATTTCAACACTTTTCTGTGGCCTTGGGCAAATGTCTTATACCTCCATCATAGGTTCCTAAAGCAACAGTGACTAGGACTGCACAAAATATTTTAGAAGAGTCAGGCTTTGTGAAAGAATCTGTGAGGATTTGTTATTTCACTCCCAAGATCGTTTAAAGCATGCTGAACTCACAGACTGAAGCACTCAACCCTTCAGAGAGTAATTTCCAAAAGTAATCATCCTATGATTTGCACTTTCAGACTACCTACAGATGGATGGGCAGAGCGGTGCTCTAGCCTGCCTGCCCCTCTGGGGGGGGGGGGGGGGGGACTCCTAAATGCTCCATAGTAATATGACAGGTTCTCAAATGGAAATAAAAAATAGTATACTACTGACCAGTTCTTATTTTGACATTAATGCTCCCTTATTTGCTTATGACAGCTTTACTGAGGTATAATTTATCCTGTTTTTGCTTTTTATACTATTTTCCTTTTTTATCACTACAAAAATAATATAACAATCCACTGTATACAATGTAGACTAATCCACACTCCCACCTTCCATGTACGAGCCTGCCCATTTCCCTGCCCCATGGTAATGCTCATTATTTAATGCATCTTTAATAATTAGCAAAGTTGAGAATCTCATCACATGAATATGGCCATTCTTGGTACACTAAGAATCTTTAAGAACTCTTTTGTATATAAGACTACCAATACTATCATAATTCCCTAGTTTATTATTCATTTTTCATTTATTTTTTTCTAAATTGTCTCTAATTTATTGTACTTATATTACCCACTTTTCTTCATAACTTAGGGTTTCTTTATTTGATGTAGTGCTTAGAAAGTCTACTTATTGTATTTTATGTATCATTGTATTTTTATGGCTTCAATTCTTACATTGAAATCTTGTTTGCTTCTGACATTTATTTTCAGGTATGAGGTAACATAAGGATTTAATTTTAACTTTTTTTTATAACTTATTCTATTGCTAAAATAAAAACAAACACTGATTTTTTAAAGTAAAAATATTTTAAAATTAGCAACTTCAAGACAGTTCATGTATGCTATTCTTCAGCATTCAGAAACTCAAAACTCACACTCATCATTTATTTAAACAGCAAATCACTTTGTTATAACTAAAACCAAATGACAGATGAGCCACAATTCTTGCTTCTTAAACTAGTGAAACATACCAAAATTGAAATAAGTGCTTCTTTTTAGCATCCAAAGCTGAAATTGTTGTGTGCATGATATACTTTAATAATTTTTGCTTTTTTCATCACTTTTCCCTCTCACCAGTTAATGCACTTATTAAAATGCCCTGGGTTAAGTTAGACCCACATTCAACGAATCAGTCAGCTAGAGAGATCATGGGAGCTAGCCCTTTTGATAAAGGATGGGGGAGAGGGGAGGCATGTAATTCGGGTTTTGAGAACCTTGCCCAGCCCCTTCACTAACAGAATATTCAAAAAGATCTTGAGATGGGTCCAAATGGAGGTACTGATTTGCTCTAAAGCTTAGGAAGCCCTGAGACAGACAATACAGGAGCAGAGGTGTTGACAACCTAGCCGGCACCCTGGCATAAGGATGGAGCCAGAGCTCTCTGGTCCATGTGCGGAGGTCTCCAGGACACCTCCCCTTTCCTTCTACTTTGTACTCCATCGCTGGGTCCCCAAACAGGCCAGGCTGTGCCACCTCTGGGCCTCTGCTGCTCACCATGCCCAAACTGCCTCCTACCACTGCTCTTTCAAAATCCAGTTTAAGGGCTGGCTTTAGCTCAGCGGTTCCTTCAACTCCAGAAGCTACTTGTCACACTTGCTCATCAAAATCCAGTTTAAAAGTCAGCTCCCCTTGGGCGCCGCCCTAAAATAATGAGTCACTCACTGCTCTGTGCTACCTTAGACTTTTGCCATGTATTTAGTGTTGCAACATCACATGATACATGTGATCTACAGGGTTATTTCTATGTGCGGCTCCTTAACTAGAGTGGTGTCCCTGTCTACCTGCCACAGTGTCCCAGTACAAAGCACATGTCCTGATCCCTGTTTAGCTTTCAGTAAATGCTGAGTGGATAGGATATCGTTCCTGCCTTCTATAATCTAATGACCTAATAGGGAGGATTAGCAGAAACGATAACTCTAATGCAAGGCCACATACAATGCAATGAACAGTTACCCACTGTAAGACAGAGTTTATGCTCTACAGTGCCTTGGCTCCTCAAATTGGTTAAAAAAAAATACACATCAAGTTATAAGTGATAGCTAAGACCCAATTTCTCATAAGCGAGTATTTACTGAGTAGAACAGCAATTGCCCCAAGACTTTTTGGTTTCTAATATCTTTATATTTTTGTCCTTTATACTTGTTTCCTTAAACTTTTTGTTCCTTTGTGTTCCTTTTAGAGAAAAGCACAAGTTTCCTTATTTGTGACAGGCACAAAAGAGTAGAGAACAAATGAGCTTTGAGCCCTGCATGGGTACAAAAAGAACTCCTAGGAGGTGCGGAGTGGAAGGCCCCCCTGGGAGCACGTGGGCTAGGTTAGAGTTGCTGAAGCTGATGCCAAAGTCATCGACTCAGTTCCCCAAAAGGTCCCAATTCACGTAAATCTATCATTCTTTAGACCATACCAACACTAACGATTATGCTTCACTTATGAATCCTTAAAAGCAACTTCTTATAGGGGTTGTCAAACCAAGCCCTTCAGCCTTACTTTTTACATACAGAGAAACTGAAATAGTAAGGCAAAACAGTTTGGCCCCAGTCACAGAAGCTCGGACTGACCTGTGCTGCTCTGATTGTACCAGACAGCATCTGTCATGCACGGAGCCACACCCTCCTCCAAAGCAGCTATCAGAAAGGAATTGTTGGCATCACCCAGAAACAAACCAGAGCCACATTAGCTGTCACATATGTTCTGACAGGAGCATGCTTTTCCATTCCTTTCACACTCCAGCTTTCCACAGAATCTCTACAACCTGCCATACCTTTCTCTGGGCTTTTAGAGGTGTCAATTGTGGAAGGTGAAGGAGCAGGAGGACAAGTCAGCTGGCCCACTTGGGAAGGCTGGCTGGAATTCTTCATGCGGTTAACCACATTTTCAGAAAGCTAAGGGAAGAATTGAAGGATGGGAAAAAGTTATATCATAGAAACCTCTGGAAATGAAGACTACTCTTTATCCATATCCCAGATTGACCATTGACACCACTTCCTTAAGACCAACTCCAATAATATAATCGCATTCCAAAACCTCTTGTAATGGCCCGATCACAGCAGGTCCCCTGTGGTTCTCTAGCTTCATCTCTTGCTATTCCCTGCCTGCACCCTGCACTCAATGGGACCTGAGCTCTCACTTTTCTCACCCCCACCCATGACACTGCTCCTCGGCCAAGAACCACCAGGAGTCCCCCGACCCCCGGCACACCTCCACCTGCCCAAATCTTACCTTTCCTTTAAGGGCATCTCAGTGTCCCCTCCTCTGTGAGATCTTCCCTGACAGCACTTAAGTGAAGTAGCATTTCTCCACTTCCTTAACGCTCCCATTAGAACTCATATGTGCCTCTTAGGTACATACACACAACCTACCTGCCTCATCTTAATCGTTTGTAAACACCTTGAGGGACTCAATTATTCACCTCTGTGTACCACCCCAGTGCCACACATACTCATTTCACCTTAGTTCCTTCTAATAAAGACTGAATAACCAAAACGTTCATTCATTTTAGAGGAAGTGAAATAGGCATGAGGGTGTCATAAAACAGCTTACTGAAATAAAATAGTAGCTAAGGATAAATCAAGAATGAAAACCCTAAGTGTTCACTTCAGTAAATATTTACTAAGAGCCTAATATGTGCAAAGCATCATAAAGCACAGTTGAGAGGAAAATGTAAAAATGACTTTAAGACAAAAAGTCACAATCAGTAACTCCAATTCCAAATATCCAGCCGAGAAAAATGCTCCCACATGTACACAGCAGCATTGAAATAGAAAAAAAAGGAAAGAAAACAATATAAATTGCAACAATAGAGAACTGATTAAAGAAATGGTGGTGTATACCTTCTATGAAATATTATGGAACCATTAAGAAAGAATGAAGTAAGACATGTAACTCACAAAAGGATGTATGAGATATACTGGTGATTTTATGAAGTCATAGAACACTTTGTATATTTCAATTTTATAAAAAGACATACAATTATAAAAAATGCTGACAAACAATTATAAATATGCCTATGCATATTCACAAACATGAAATTCATTTGAACTTTCACATATATGCATACATACAAATACATGCATCCGTTCAGATATGAAAGTCTAAAAGGCCACATAAAAAACAAAGTCCTGCAAGTGGGGGCAGGAGCAGCTGGGGTAGGACTTTCCCTTTGGACACTTCTGAGTTTTAATTCTTTAGCATGAACACTTCTTTAGCAACTAAAAAAATTAATAATGATGGTGATGATAAAAATGAGTCCCTCTAGTATTTAAGATTGATGCAAATCAAATAGCTAATTAATAATACAGGACAAGAGAAGACCAAGCACATACAGCGGAGGAAAAAAATTAAGAATCTATAAATAAACCTATATTTATGGTCAATTGATTGACAGAGGTGCCATAACAATTTAATGGAAAAAGAATAGTCTCTTCAACAAATGGTGCTGGTACAACTGTATTTACACATGTAAAAGAATGCAGTTGAACACCTATCTCATGCCATATACAAAAAATGTAGGAGCTAAAACAATGAAACGTTTAGAAGAAAATATAGGAGTAAATCTTTTTCTTTTCTTTAGGGATTAATCTTTATGATCTTGGCTTTGGTAGTAGATTTGTAGTTATGACACCAAAAACAGGAACAATTTTTAAAAAACAGATATACTAAACTTCAACAAAATATGTCTTAAAAATCAGTAACATGTTAGTGATAAGTGCTAGGAGAAAATGAATTACAGTTATGGTATGCCACCAGCATTGGGAGAGACCTCTGAGAGGAGATGACTAATGCCAAGGCTTCTGCCTCCACATCAACTAGTACATCTGTAGAGCCAGGAGAAAACGATCTAGTTCCAAGCAGAGGAGAGGATAAGTACAAAGTCTCAAAGAAGAACTGAAGCTGGCATGTCCAAGGGCCTGACAGAAGGCCAGTGCGTAGGAAGGGAAGTAGGACCAGATGATCAGGCCAAAGAGTCGGGCAAAGGCAAGACCATACAACTTGGCAAAGGATCACATTTGATCCACGGGCCAGAACAGCTCCGGTGGAGTTCTACACAGGTGAGTCCCAGACTGATCTCCTAGCCCCAGCTCAGGTGGTATCATCTGAACCATATTACTAGGTGAGTGAGGGGTTAAGGAAAACATTGGCACGCTTCTTATTGGCAGTAGGAGATTTGTATTTAAAAAGCAATATTTTAAAATGTTGCTACAAAATAGAGCAAGTAATATTTTTAATCAACAAATATACATACACACACAGTAGTCATGTGAGAATAAACACCATCTGGACAGTGCTCCCTGTACCAACAGAACCAGAATGGAGGCTTCCAGAGCCAGACGGGTCTGGAACTCGATGCTAAAGGCCCACTGGTCATTGTGCCATCATAGCTGCCAGATACGGTCCTATGTGGTCAGGAGATGAAAGGCCAAATCCACAGCAGTGCAAGGAAAGAGGACTGCTGCCTATACTCCAGCTGTGTGGCCTTCACCCAATTCTTCAGCTTCTCTGGGCATCACCTCTCTCACTTACAAAATGGGAATCCCTGTGATACATCTCAGGAATTAAGTGCTTTGGGCTCAGAAGGGCCTGGGTCTGAATCCAAACTAAGCTTAGAGATAAGAAGTCCCTTGACCTTGGACAAGGGACTTCTTATCTCTAAGTCAGTTTCTTCATCTGTGAGATGGAAATAATTAATGGCATAGACTGTGGAGTTGTTGTGAGGATTAAATGAAGCAATCTACATAAAGCAGTTGGCACAAAGTAAAAACCAATGTTGGCTATAATGCGAAACTGCAAAGCACTATACAAATATTAATTATAATCCATACCAGGCACATACTGGATGTAAAATTCCTAAATTAATATTAGTTCCCTTTATCCACAAGGGATATGTTCTAAGACCCCCTGGTGGGTGCCTGAAACCGTAATATTAATAGTACCAAGCCCTGTATAGACTGGTTTTTCCTATACATACCTACAATAAAATTTAATTTATAAATTATGCACAGCAAGAAATAAATAACAAAAACCAATAATAAAATATAATAATTATAATATACTGTCATAAAAGTAATGGGAATGTGGTTTCTCTCTCTCAAATTAGCTGATTGTTCTGTACATACAGCATGGATATACTGGACAAGGGGATCTTTCACATCCAGGTGGGACAGTGTGAAATTTCATCACACTACTCAGAACAGGGCACAATTTAAAACTTATGAATTTTTTATTTCTGGAATTTTCCATTTAATATTTTCTAACCACAGTTGATTGACCACGGGCAACTCATGAAAACAAAACTGTGGATAAAGGGACTATTGTAATAACAATAGGTAACATTCACCATCTATATATATATAAAAGCTCAGCGACCAGAACGCAGAATGACCAGAACAACCAGTGGCTATGATGCGCACTGTGGCAACCAACCAGCCTGATCAGCCCCCTCATACCGGTTGGCCCAGCCCCTGATCAGCCCCCAATACCCTGATCAGGAGCCAGGCCAGCTGGCCAACTGCCTATGCACCCTCCCCCCCCACTCACCAGCCCGGCCCAATGGGCCTCCATTGGGCAGGCCGGCTGGACCCCACCCATGCAGAAATGCATGCACCGGGCCTCTAGTATACTATAAACTGAACACTGTTCTAAGTGTTCTACATGCGTGATCTGTTCAAAATTAAATTAGGAAGATTGTTTTACAGCACCCTCCAGCTCCAACCTCCTGTCCGCAGTGTGGAGTAACACAGTATTTCAAGAAGAGGGGCCTTCCTATGCCACCACCATGGTGCAGTTGGCTGGCAGCTCCACAGGTCTCCACCGACAACACAGAGCCCAAGAAGGGACTCTCTCTCCTCCCTTCTCCAGCCCACAGCCCTAGCACAGGCAGGCCATCAACAGCCAAAGTCAGGCCTCAATTGAAGTCACAAACATGAGAGACCTCACCACATCTGTCCTAACAAATGCGATTAGGAACCCAGACCCCACAGCCTCACAACTGAAATTGCAGGGCTGCAACCAAACGCTTTCCTCGCTTACTTTAGAGGCAAGTTCCCAAAGAGGGGACTAGAGGTTTATTTATTAAACCATAGAGATCTATCAGTACGTCATGTGGCTACTCCACGACTAAAAGGCTAGAGGAGAAAGGTGCTGCCAGAAAAATCACAAGTGGGACTTATCTAGCACTGGATGGAAGAACTGTGACAGGCGTGAGCAGTGTCCTGCTGACCCACTATAATGGAGAAGGTCAGAGTCATAATAACTACAAGCAACACCCATCTCCCAGTAGAGGAAACCAAGGCACAGAAAGGGTAAAGCACTTGCCCAGGCCATGAAGCTCATAGAGTGCAAGCCAGGCTGCTTAACTCCCTAGCCAGTCTTCTGTGGGGTAAAAGGATGTGACCCCACGACAACAGCGAGGGGAAATGCACTTGCAAAGCAGCACTCACAGGCAGGAAGGGCCCTAGAAGGAACAACTATTGCAAATCTAAAGCAAGGAAGGAGTCGGGATTGCTGAGAAGCCATAACTCACATTTGACCACTTGTTTGCCATGACTCCCACCAGAATATAAGCTCCATGGGAGCAAGTTCTGTTTTGCTCTTGCTTTACCTTTAGTGCCTAGAGAGTGCACAGCACACTGGAGATGCTCAATATTTGTTAAAGACATAAACTAAAATAAGTATTTACTAAAGCCACATGTTCGTAACACACTAATGCAATGGAGCATGTAAAGATATAATAACCAAGAGCTTTACATTCAAAGAGCTTATGGTCCAACAGGGTGGACAAAATAAACTCATACAGATGACACAAGCTACTAAGTTGTCAGGTTTATGAAGCTCAAATAAGGTGCCTGGGAGTTCTAATAAAGGAACCCTAAGTTCCAGCTGGAAG